ATAACAAAGTGCGGTACAATTTTATGTGAACTTTTTTCTTTTATATTAAACAGTCATCAAAGACTGATGTCACTGGTGCAAAACAGTATAATTCTACATAATTTCATTACCAAGATGACTGATGTGGTTTTCTTTGATTAGTTATTCTTACTGAACAGGTCCAATCAAACGCCCTCGCGATTAATTGTATCAGACGCTCAACCATAAAATTTACTTTCTGTTTCATCTATATTCTTTCCTTGATTATAATAACCATTATAAATATAAGAAAGTACCAAAAATGCAGGTGTAACCTGGTATAAAATTATTTTGCATATAAAAACTAATGCTTTACATGAGGATAACAAACATTTATGTAGACTAAATACGTATAAAACATAACAATTAGCTACCTGTATAGTAGGTAAGAAACAACAAAATTTGCTTTATCGCGCGATCATAAATTATTGCAGAGAAAACATTATAACGTTCCGAACATGGTTTTCATGTTTGATGTATGGTCCAAAAGACATGATGCAATATTGCAACATGTCATACGTTCCGCACATCAAAGGAAAAGACTGCATTACGAACATGTCGGTATGATTTGCACAGACTAAATACATCATGACTACACAAGTACATATACGCTTTAACATCATGTCGTAATGTTCTACTTTCTAAAACAGTTTACGAGGTCGATTCAAAACTGCTCGCTGACATAATTCGACCAGAGAAAAAAAAGAAGCTCACATCTTGTCCAGCCAGGACTTGAACATGACACACAAACATTATGGCCATAAAATTTCAAAAGAAGACCAGGCAGCATATCTAGGAGCGGCCTTCGCCATTGGTCAGATTCAAATTACTAGTGACCATACTACTGTAAATCACTTTATATTCGCGTGATCTTTATTTCGCGAAAACCCCACCCCCGGATTATTTCGCGTATTCATGAATTCGCGATGGCAGGGACAGAAATTTATATTCGCGATTATTTGGAATTCATTTCCGCAATATAACAAGAGTAGATTGAAGTTAATTCCTATACTATGTCGCTCTTATGCAAGGTAAATGTTAATGGTGTTAATAATAAACAGTTTTTATTTATTTATTTTATATGCAAAATGTACCTACATACAGGTAATTGACTTATTATGAACGGATTTTCTAATCATTTGTCAAATTTGTTTTTTGTTTGCAAATAGCGTGTTTGATAAAACGTTAAATGTTTGTAAGAAGGTGTTATATACTTGTTATAATTCTTAATATACCGTGTGAAAATTGTCCGTTGATCACTGTTTTACCGTAAATCTATCTAAACAATTTGTGTTCACATTTGTCTGTAAAGTGCAAAATTTGTGGATATTGTCTCTTTTTGTGTTTTACATGCATGCATTCATGAGGAAAATGGAATGGGAAAAATCTTTAACCTTCAAATCTTTATTATTATGTAAATAAAACATTGCACATATTAATTATTTGCATTCAGTTATTGTATTCATTATAAAATATGATCACAATTCGAAAAAAGTGTCATCAGATTTATTTTTTATAATGTATGTTATGTTATAAAATTTACGCGGCATCATGAATTCGCGACGCGGCCGATTCGCGAATAATAGCGAAAATTAAAACATCGCGAAAAATACCGGATTTACAGTAGTTACTAGTAATCAGATGGATAAAAAATATTATAGACGGATGCTCTCGACTACATTTTTATCATCATAGCTATCTACATCATTTGTCATTCTTCATTGTTCCCTCATATGGAATATGCCTATCTTAGTTATGGACATATAATCTTTTAGGACGTAAAAAATGGCTTCATACTTATATTGTGAAGAACACACACAAATGCCACATCCACCAAAAATGTGTTAACAAAGCACTTAAGATTCTCTGAAATCAGAGGTTCAAAGGTTAAATGAGTGCAAATATATGTTCTGCTAAATGAACCCAAAAAGCTTCAACAAGCCAAAGGAAAATTAATGACCCATCAATTTTCATTCTTCCATGACATTACAAACCAAATTTCTGGCAAATATTACAAAGGTAACTTGAAAGAAAAACAATCATATAAACAGTAAAAACATGACTGTAGTGATACCTACTTTATCAGCATTTTGTCAAAATATTACTGGGCAATGCCAGGAATTTTTTCTTTCTATGCTTCATAGAGAAAGATCAAAGTTGACTTAGTATGCAGTTAAAGTAACAAAAAACAAAAATAAAATATTAATGCCAACACAACAGTATTTTTTAGAAAGACAAAAAAACAATCATAATAAAGCATCATGATTCTACATTTAACATATCCATTTGATTCTGTTTGGCTCGGCAGTTAAAGGCAGATATGCCATGAAATATGCATGGCCACAGAAGACCCACCGCAAATATTCATAAGTAATCAATATTAATCATAAAATATAACACCCGGTATATCTATGATATAAGTATTCCTACCATCAGGTAAGGGAAAAAATACAAAACAACTTAAATTAATTGAAAAAAAAAAACCATGGTTTATGGCAATTTGGGATTTGAGAAATTAGTTTGCCGAGAGCTAATCCGACACACAACTTTATTGGGGTTGAAGTAATAGGTGCATAATGTGCCTGTCAGAATTATGACCTAAGAACTTTGCTGAGGTTAGAACTTACTAAGCTGTCGCGTGACCTAAAACTTTGCTAATTTCATATAATTTTGAAGTTGAAACTAAGCTGTCACATGCAGTTAATCTTTGCTGCTGTTACAAAATAATACGCAGTTACATGACCAATTACCTGACCAATTACAGTTACTAAATTTGCATATTGTTTACTGTTTGATACTATTTTCATCCTAAAATATGGCTTTATATTTACTTTTATATCTTTTCTTTTACTAATTATTTACATACAATCTAGACAAACTTTAGTCTAGATATGTTAGGAGTAATAGATGACAACTGTCTTGTAAAGTAAAATTATAACAACAAGAATTTGCATGATTTATGTAGTGTTACACCCTGTACTGGCATTTGAATAATATATAGTATCAAGTAACACTGGCATACTTTTGTAATAATTATATTGTAATTTTTAATAGACATAACTTTGTAAAGTGCAAAATTTTACAACACAAAAAAATAAAAATTTTCACCAAAAAAAAATGGAGTTGATTTTACGTCGCACCAACATAGTAGAGTTCATACAGCAAATTTTCAGCTTTACTGGTTGAGGCAGGCCCCAAGTGCCCTTCTGTGCATTATTTCAGGCACAAGCGGGGACTTGAGTAGAACCACCAATGTTTCGTAAGCTGGCTGGATAGGTCCCACACATGAAAGAATCTAAAATCCCTGGCAGCCATTTGAACCCACAGCGGTAAAGGGCAAGTAGTTTGAAGTCACCGACCATAACCACTTGGCCAGGTACGCCCCATAAAATGTAGTTAATGACCTAAGAAATATGACATGCAAAAAGTGTTGGGGGAGGGCAAATATTTTAAGTGACCATAATAATCATTAATTAATTCAATGGTAGACTCAGTAGACAATACGATTTATCTTCCTTTTTAGCTTTGACATGTAGGTTGTGTCAAGGCTTTACTTTCTTCATAAATTCTTTTGTTAATTGTTAGTTATGAGTTGTGTTTTCATATTAATGTTGAACTGTTGAATTTGACATTTTTTCAGACACTATGTACATTAAATTTTGTACATTTACAGAGTTTTCACCCCCCCCCCCCCCCCCAAAAAAAAAAGACTTGTAATAAAACTGAACAGTGAACAAATTTACAATATCCTGTTATATAACCTGAATTCTCGAAAAACAGAATCCGGTTTCAAACATAAACAAGGTTATCTTTTAAATACGGTATGCTTATTTAGAACAACAAATTCTGAGGCAGTTACATATATAATTTACTTTTCTTAATGCATGGGTAACTGGTAACCTTCTACAAATTATGCTTGATACATTTGTTTAATGTTTCTTGTAAGGTTAGGTCATGATCATTTCTATCACTGCACACATTTCATACTATGGGAACCAGAATAAACTTAACAGGACTTTGTCATATAGACAAAAATCAACTTCAGTTAATATAAAAATTATAATAAAATGGTTGATGATAAATTTCCAACTTAAGAATAGTTGGTTTAATTAGTAATTTATATCAATATTTTTAGAGCTTTATTGTAAAACAACTTCTTGCAACATTTACAACATTTCCATATCAATATAATGTAATCCTCACCATGAAACTAACCGGAACTGGCCATTGGTGTCATATGTAGAAACATGGTCAAAACCCTAGTAGGTCTAAAACGGCTATGTGGCAAATGCATTTTGAATGCATTTCAAGTAAAGAGACTGATACTTTATTCTTTTTCTAGATGAATTTAATTGTATTTACTGCAAATTTATGTGGTATGTGGAAAGTTATTTAATCATGAAAAAAATGTTAGTTTTTGCTGTTTAATTGTCAACTAAATTTTCTCACATAAACTATTCTGGAAGAGAATTAGTTTTCTAAAAATTGAATAATTTAGGATGTAGAATAAAGTTATCTCCAAAATAATAACTGATATATCTTACACAGATTTTAAACATATACATTAATATTCAATAAGGTGTGAATTTATGCAGACTTAATAATTAATGAAAGATCTGCTTCAGCCTTATTTATAGTTACAAAGAAACTAAATATTGCATCATCAAATTTTTAACAATAAAAGTTACAAGTACAGTGTATATTTCCCATGCCCCTTTCACAACACCTTTATAGTTAGCAGCTGAAAGGGCAAACACCTGCGCCACTAACAAATTTAGCAATTATTACCTGATGTTACAATAGACTATAATTTATAAAACACTTATCAATACTTAAAATAAATGTAAACAATACTAAAAGATGTGTCATTCAAATTCAAGGAAGTTGACATAAATATCATTTCATTAGACATATAAATCTGCTACCTGTTATTTTTTCTACATACATTTAATTCTGAATAAACATAAAAAACAACAACTTACAGAACCGGCTCCTTCCAACACCCCCCTGGGTGAGACAAAAATCCCAGATCCAATTATAGACCCAACTATGATTCCAACCCCGTTGAACAGCGTTATGGTCCGTTTTAATTTCACTGTCCCATCCTGGTCATCGCTTGGAGTCTCTGAAGAATCATGTCCACTACTGTTTCGATTTTTAACTTCTGTCGAAGTCATTTTGTCGTGTGATGAACCGCTAACTGGTTCGAAATCTGTGGAACTACTGACTGAAAACACATGCACGTTGTTTTGGTATCAATTACGCATGCGCACAACTTCGGGGGCTGTACCATTTTCCAGTAGAGGTAGGTAAACAATGTACTATTAAATTTGGCGCTACTATTTGTTTATGTAAACAGGCGAGTAAGCAAGGCATCTGCATCAACTTTTCAATAAAACTGAGACAATGTTCTAAACACTGATGAGAAAGAATGTATTTTTAAATCAGTACTTCTTCTAAAAAGTGTAGTGTAGGTATGTTGCTATAGCAGCTAACAAATACTATATTCCATTGATATATTTGCTGACGCAATATTTTCCCACGCTGTATGATTTTTGATAAAAGTAACACGGAGTGGCCTTGACCAGAAAGATTTCACTATGATGAGTCCTGATTCTAATTTTGTTTTAATAAGTAGCCATTATTATTATTTTATTTCACATATGACCTCAAATGTAATACGTTTATAACTGTTATTGTTATTTGTTGTTCAAAATTTTAAGCTTTGCATGGTTCCTCTTGCATAGGCCTATGCCTTAATTACACTGAAACTGCTTATAATTAGTTCCGCGTTATGACTGGATAAAAACATAGAATGATATTAATGATTTAATAAAAACAACATTGTCAACGCAAAAAATATAAAGGAAAATATTAAACTATAATTTGAAAGAACTTAGAAAAATAATTCTTGTGTTTGTTTGTGTTTTTAGTCTTCACATTGTTTTTAATGATTTCAGAAATGCTTTAATTGTTCTCAATAAGAACAGTTTGAATTTTAATCATTACTAATTTATTAACACAATTTTGAACTATTGCATTTAAGGCAGCTCGAGTTGTCCACATTTAAGTCCGTATATTAATTATTAAGAGGTTAATACACGGCAGGAGAGGGCCGGAAGGTGATAATCGGCCCGCAAAATGAATAATGGACCCGAGGGCTTTAGCCCGAGGGCCATTATTCATTCAGGGCCGATTATCACCTTCCGGCCCTACTTTGCCGTGTATTAATGTCTTTAATACACTTGGTAGATCAAATAGTAGCATTAAAAATACTTTGAAGTTCTTTCGTTGAAATTCTTGTCTACACTTCTACTGTTCTGTAGAGATGTTTACTGTTTGTGTGTTCAAAGTAGTAGAATCGAGAAGCAAGTTTTATTTTCATTTTTTTCGGAATTAATTTGTCGTATTATTTATTCAAATTTCAATAGTTACAAAAATGTGTTTGTACGAAATACGCTTAAGCTCTCATAATAAAATAAAGCGATTCGTGCGGACAACCTACTTTCACTTTTACAGTTAACTGTTTGATGACGTGAAATATGACGTCATTGTTCCAGTTTGTGCACGTGCACATGTTCTGCGGGCTGATAACTAGTTCTCGGCCCCGGGCCGCAAACTCATAATAGGTCACGTGACACTCATAATCAGTTGAAATCATAGGCAATTTTGTTACTATATATAGTAACAAGTGTATTAATTCGTATTATCAAGGATATGACGTACGCAGAGTAAGATTTAAAGGAAGTCTCTTTATACTAGTACAAAGGGTTGTCTCTTATCTCTAATCAAATATGTTTATAATGCTTATAAACATTATGCATAAGAAATACTTTCATTTATATTTTTCAACAGCGTTTGGTTTTCTGGTGTCACTTGTAGTTTCATTATCCATATACCATGCAAAATCATCTTTCTCTTCTGTTGCCTTTTGGCAATTAGTACTGCTGTTGTCACGTGATAAGCATGTTACATGCTCTAAAACATTATTTAAACATTACAAAACTCATGTTTGCCTTTTTTAAAACGAAAAAATAGTGCCTGAGACATAGTGTGCCTTTAATATTATGTATCGGCAACAGGTTTCAAACGGATGTGTAATGACATTATGATCTATAATGGTGAACGTATACTTTTCTACTTTTATAGGAGAGGGGTGTTTGTAGGGTTTGGGAATATTTTTTAATTCTTCCTATGTAGAATATTGACGTCTTTGTTACATGTATTAGTATTACTAAACAACTAATCAACGGCCTATAATCCTAAGCGTAAAGCGATATTACTTTGGATAGAGTTGAGCCCCTTTGACAGTTGATAAAATATTTGAAATTTCCAGCCTTCCGAAACAGAAAGGTAAAGTTTTTTATTCCTTCTTATGTACTTGACATTTTCATACTGTTTTTTTTTTTTAAATGAGAATGATAAATAAGATGAAATTGAGCCTGGTCCCGTTGAAACTAATGCACGGAGGAGCTTACGTCGATGTTCATCGTCTGCATAGCTGGAAAGACACCACTAAATCATGATTTCAGTCCAGCCACATTAATTGAAGATTAAAAGAACTATATAGCAAAAAGAATCTAATTGAGCGGCCATTTGAGGTATTTAAGTGACGTATTAAAATATGCAAGGTAGCATTTGAGGTCCATGGGAGCAAAATAGAAATAACGGAAAGTAATAAATTAAAATGGAGATTTCATGCTGTTTCTCACGTGAAATGTATTTAATTTGTATGGTGGCTGTTTTATATTATGTTGAATCTAAAAAAAGCAAATGTTGTATCTAGAAAAAAGAAAGAAAAAAACTCCAAACTCCAAAATACGACAAAGTCAAAATGTGCACATTGCATTTGAATCAATCTTGGTGTTACATTCCCGCAAAATAAAATATTGAACAAAAATATGTTATATGTTTAATCTCAGGTCAGTCAGGATACCTTGTAATTATAGATATAATTACGACACGTTCCGTGAAAATCGTTTATTTTCAAAATAAGAACTTCATTGACATTTTATAATGATAGAACAAACAAGTCATAAGAAAAATGATTGTGTGAAACTTTCACAATAAAATGCAAACGAAACAAATTTTCTCATGAAATTTGAAACTTTGATGGTTATAACTTCATTTCTTAAAAAAAGAAATGTTATCGGCTGTCAATCCTTGCTGGGTCATTTCATTTAGAGTTGTTGTTTTTTTAATTATCTTTTTACAAAAATGTTGTTCATTTTACTATATAATTAACAAATAGAAAAACACAGTATAGATATTTAGATACATAAGAAATACTGAAATACTGAAGTTGAGTGCTCAGTGTCAGAAGTTTTCTAGTGCCATCATTTGTATTTAGACCTGCATGGTTGCTGATACCTGATACTTTGGATTGATAGAAAAGCGTTTGAAAAGACTGATTCAATTGTTTTATTTATATATTTCTTCCAACGGTCTACATATGTATTGAAATTAATTTTAAACTTTGGAATTGTTTACTGTATACATTATTTATACAATACGTCTACACAACAGTTTGCTAGGATTTAGTATAATACAAGGCATAAAGCACCCAGGGTGAGATATAATCTGACCAGTAACGCGGAGTTATATTTTGATTGACAGATCCCATATTCCCGCCTCTGTATTTTCATTGGTTGACCTACATAAATTCGACCGGATGTTGATTACTGCTGCCATTGTGAAGTTCCACGCGCGTAAGTTAGGAAGTAACAAAATTGACCATTAGCGAATTAACTAAATACCCATACGGCTGTCCGGAGCTAGATATAGTGCCACTGATAAAATAAACTCTGTCAACATTTACGAGCTGTTTGAATTTGTGCGAATTACCAAGAGGAATCGTTTTGTGGAACACGTGGGTTTCACTTCTCAGTTAATTTGTTATTTATGATAAGATAGTCGGATTTTTTAATATATATTGAAGAAAACACTAAGAAAATGGGTGAAGATTTTAAGGTTGTGAATGCTGACGGTGATAGTGATTCTGGAAGAATAAAGTTGAAGAAGGAAATAGGACTTCACAATGCTGTGGCTATCATAGTGGGGGTTATTGTGGGGAGTGGAATTTTCATTAGCCCTAAAGGAGTTCTTATGGAAGCGGGCTCTGTGGGACTGTCACTTTCAGTATGGGGAATGTGCGGAATTATTTCACTTGTAGGGGCTTTATGCTATGCTGAACTGGGAACATGTATTCTGAAATCAGGGGCAGATTATGCGTACATTGGAGAAGCATTTGGACATTTACCTGCATTTTTGTACTTATGGGTTGCTTTAGTTATTATTATGCCAACAGGGAATGCAATTACAGCTTTGACATTTGCTAAATATGTGCTACAGCCAATATTTCCAGACTGTGAGGTTCCATCAAGTGCAGCAAGTTTACTGGCGGCCTTATGCATTAGTAAGTATTTAATTTTAGTTATTGATTTCCCTCTATGGGCCCCTTGTAGTAAATTTACTATATAGTAACACCATGCATTGAACACATGGGTTTCATCATCAAATAGTTTCGGTGATACACATGGTTGCATCATTAGGAAGGTTCCATTTTCAATTCATGAATGATTGATGGGGTTAGATTTGAAATCAATAATATCTTAAAAATTGATTTTAAAGTTGAAAATAACTTGAATCACATATAGGCTGGCATACATGTATATTGGGCTAACATGTATTTTTATATATAACACAAATTTTAATATTAAAATATAACTCAAAATGGCATACACTATGTTCATTTACACTGTATTATATTACTTTGTGCTGTTGATGAAAATAATAAATAATAAAATACTTCCTGACACAGTCTACTATAATATATTCATATAAATATAAATATGTTCACTTAAACAAATGAGCTCTTCTTTCTCAAATAGGAAAAAAAATAACAAATTTCAAATTGAGAGGAGTCTCAGAGGAATCAACAAATCTACTGGTGTGAGATGGAAAGGGATTTAAAACTTTTCCCACTACACCCTTACCCTCATATCTATACTTACCCTGGCTGCTGAATTTCATAAATGGGCTTGTCCAGCATCTGTTTTTTTTAACTGACCATTATCTATTTTGGGGATGTCAAGATGAAAATTAAAAGTTACTCTGCCAGCAGATGTACTGGTTGCAATCGCTTTACAGGTACTCTCAGTTCCAACCGGCTAAGCCAGTTTAACAAATAAATCCTTGAGAAATGTAAAAGGTGACTTGTATCAAATATAAATTTGTCTTGGTCTGTATTTCCTGTGTTGAGTAAACACTTTTGTTTACATATTTGTCAATGTTAATCAGAGCCCAAGGTAGGCTCCTCTTAAGACCTACTCTATAGAAAAAGCATCTGTTTAATTAAAGTGACATTATGTCCAAAAAGCATCTGTTTAATTAAAGTGACATTTTGCCAATAAGAGCAAATAGTGAGTGTTCAAGTAAAATTAAAATACAAATGTTACTACATTTAATGATTTTTTTCATATTAATGTTTTCAATTTTATAATATTAAGCATCACTGAGTAATCATTAACCCCTGTGACGACCCTGAGACTCATATAGATATCCTTCAGGAATTAGCGGTTATGTCCAATTTATGAAGAGTGGGACAGTCTTTTTATATTTTAGACAAGTTTTTATATTGTATCCTTTAGTTTACAATAATTGTAATTATTAATTATTGTTTACTCGCCATTATAATAGTCATTCTTTTGGAATATACATCTAATTTACCTCAACTTGACCCTAAAAAAATAGCATAATGTCACTTTAAGCAACAACCTATTTTCTCAAAAGTAGTATGTAATTTCTTACTATGATAACATTTATATCAACAAAAAATAGACTTATCCCCAAGGTGTAACTGTTAATTAATTAACCTTTAACATAGTGAACCATTGTTCGTTCTTTCTGATGTTTTCTTTTTTTTTAACTGACATAGATAAATGTCAGTTATGTTAAGTGTTATTTGTACATAAGTATTTTTGTACAAATGTACCAACTTGGACACATACTGGCAAATTTATTACTGTTGAATTTTGATCCATTTGCTTCATTGTATGGTATTAAACCATTTTCATGCTCTCACTTGGAGGAAGGGGGAGTTGTTGCTTATGTCTGTCTTGCTTTCAAGGTGTGGGACTCGCTGACAAACTAGTAGAACGTGGGCCAGGGGGCATCTGTATACTGTGGACACACTTCTTTAGTTTAATCGTATTGTTGCAAAAAAGTCTCTAAATTTCAACATATTGTGTTCATGATTAAATTAATTTTCTGGACAAAACTACATAAATCATATCATTTGAAGCTAATAATTCAATTCTAAATTTGCAGTTAAAATATTAAATATATAATATTGAATATTCAAAGTCTGTCTAAATATAAATTGGGAAAAAAGATTTCCAGCTATATTAGTCTAAGTCTATACAAATGTATATTAATTTGGGAAAATATTTCGATGAGAATTAAGGGAATGATTTTAGATTAGCAGCAACATATGGCCATATTTATTACTAGTGTAATAAATAACTTATAATTATGATCACATGCCTGAAGTCAAGAGCTTTATACACATCAGTTCAGCTGCTCTATAAAAAGGGAAGGGATACTGATAAGGATCAGCAAGCGCAGTGGTCAGCCTCTGTGGTGTTAATTAATTCATGGGGTTATAACATGTTATTAATTGGCACTTGGTTAATTGATCTTATCCCTTTTGGCTTTATATCTTCTGAATCTGTGTTATAGTCCAAGGTCAACAATATAGAGACTGGTCAGATTGCATGGATGTGCATGCTGTCATGCCTCTCAGTATGTACAGTACGTCTTGGCATTATTTCAGTAAATTATTTCAGTTTCATTATCTAATGATATTGATCATCTACCATGCAATGATGCATGGCCTGGCTTTGTTGCAGATCTGCAGATACATTGTATATGTAATTTTCCCAAGTTTAATTTTTTAATTGTAACCAATTTTCTGTTGAAAATGTGCAATTTTCTGTTGAAAATGTGCAATTTTCTGTTGAAAATGTGCAATTTTCTTATAACTTTCAATAAAGACTCTAAACATGAAAAAAAAAAAGGGTTTACAATTAGAGTGGTTTGTTGGTGCATAAACGTCAACCTGGGACATAAGAGTCACTGGTTCATTATATATAAAAATCAAGGGTATTGCCCACGTCTGATGCATGTATATACATACAGAAATGTCACATGACAAATGGGTCGAAGCTGGAACTCTAACCATGGGTATGCAGGTTGATGACCAGTATGACGTGGCCTTTGCAAATATGAATCTTAGTTGTTATACTATTTACAACTGAAATAGACCACATTAAGAAACATTGCATAAACAAAGTTTTTCTAACCTTTAACATGCTTAAGTCCATGTTTATTCCTTAAATGTTCTCTAATACCTGATACAGAATTGTATGACTTATCACACTGATCACATATATAAGTTTTTCTTTTATCCTCTGTAGATTTTACACTTATCTTATCCTCATCCTCAGAATTTTCAAATTCACTAGCTGTAAATTCACCAAGAAAAAAATCTAAATCAATATCCTCAAAGTGAACAAAGTCCAATTTTCCATAAGCCATATTGCAGTGTATCAGTGTGTATAAATTTCATTTTTTTTTTTATTTTTTTTAATGCGTTTATTTAAGGTCGCTGCCGGAAAGCCCATATGGGCGACCGTACACTCAAGTCGGGCCATCCTAGAGCGTCCCGCCGAGATTTTTCGTCAATTTTTTTTCAGCTTTATTGGTGGAGGTAGACCCCAGGTGCCCCTCCGGGCATTATTTCAGGCACGAGTGGGCACCTGGGTAGAACATCCGACCTTCCGTAAGCCAGCTGGGTGGCTTCCTCACGTGAAAGATTTCGACCCGAGTGAGGATCGAACCTACAGCGGTGAGGGACCTGTGATCTCAAGTCAGCGACCTCGGCCACGGAGGCCCCCACTGTAAAATTTCATATATGAACATTGCATCTTAAATGTTTACTTTTTATGAACAAAATTGAGTTTAAACTGTCAGTCAGTTTTAAGTTTATTTATACTCGGCGCCGGAATAACCATATGTCCGAGAATTCAGCATCCGTGCTTGTCCACTAAGGTAGTCGCATCGGGGACGTCTTTGTCAAGCTGAGTCTTCCTGATATTTCCATTCTTCGTTCATTGGTGGTAGAGGAGATGACAATATTGGCCAGGCATCATGTTCCATACTGACGATAACAAAAACGGCTCTCATTAGCGCCAACCCTCCAGAGTTAGTCACGACAGGTCAACCAATTTCCTCTGGTACCTTAGATCTATGACTTGACCTGCTGTGTGCCTTCTCCGCGACGTGCACGCCTCTGGAGGGATTTGGAGAAGAGTTAAAACTGTCATTCAATAGCATCTTTTAAAAGGGCATTATTGTGTGTAGTAAGAAATCAATCTATTCAAAAATGAAGATTAAAGCTAAATAAGAACATAATTACAAATATATGTGAAAAATAAGTTTAAACATCAAAGATTATCAAAGGCCATGTCACAAACAAACATGAATAAAACAAAGGTCAGACATTTCATTAAACCAGAAATTATTACATGTTATAAACATGTTTATAGCAGCTGTACACTTTAATTACATAATATATATATTCTATAATTAATTTGACATAATTATATTCTATAATTAATATAAACCATGTAATTAAAGCTATAATTGAAATTTAATGATTAAGTTATTTCTGAACATATTTTAATTACAAAACGTAAATTTTCTATCATAATTAAATACGGTAAAATATTTATCTGTATCTGATTCATATTTATTCATATTTTCAAAATTGATTCAATGAAAAAAGTATTTAAAAAACCAACAACCTTTTTTTAACTATTATTTTGATTGCCCACCTCCCGAAATCACCGGAAAATTTATGCACGGAATATATCAACCCGGCATGTACCGTGATTACGGCGTTTAAAAATGGCGCTTATCGATCGATCGATCTCGATTGGACACCAACATTGGCCGTGATAAGAAAGCGCGAGTTGCTTGTCCCGTTATCTTATGTCCCAGCGACATATTCACATTTGGTTGAATAGTTAAAAGTTGCCATCCTAGACCTTTTTTTCACTGCTCCGCACCACAGTGGGTTTGAATCTGGCTTGAATGATGTTAAGTGTTTAACATAATTTATAGTATATATAATCAGTTCAATAAAAAACAAACGCTTTCCTTAGCTTTCGACATTTTGTCTTTTTCTGAAAATAAAATAGATTATAAAAAACGTTTTTACATTTTTGATAGGATATAATCAGGGCTTCCACTAGGAATTTTTTTTAGGAAGTCAGGACTTCCTTTCAAGGAATTTTGGAAGTCATGAGGAAAATTTCTGGAAGTCAGTTGTTCTTTCGTGTTTCAATGTTTGATTTATAGTATGGGATGATACCGGTAACAGCAATTATTTTAAGTATTAAGTTCAAGGTACCTTCACATGATTGTTGGGTAAATAACTAGGAACATTTCCCTGAAAAGGACTGTATTGTTGTTATTTAAGGACAGCAGTAACCATGTAGAACCTTTCAGTGATATCATTCAAACATTTGCTAATTGGTATAACAAAAAAAAAATCCAAAAATAAGAACTTTATTCTTTATCAATCATGGTACAAGTACATATAAACATAGCATACAACTTACAAATTTAACAATCATAAATGAGAAGTACTACATGATCAAACATTTTTCAAACATTATAGTAAATGCATAACATAATGTTGTCTTAAGTGAATTTAAGGGTATGAATATATTAATAACAGAAAAAATTATCAATACATGCACAGTATCATTATCAATAATAAGAAAATGCAGAGTACAAAATGTACCATCATTTCTTTGTCTATTTTACAGAAATATGTACAGGCACAATAAAAAAATCTTACTTGATTTATATTCTAGCTTATATTGTTAAAATAAATATTAATAAATAGTATAATTTGGTGATATTTGATAAATAATATTTACAAAAAAGGACAGGCAAAGATAAAAAATAGTCAACAATCCTTACTAAGTAAACCTATCTTATGTTTTATTATATAGTATATTTAATTGATTACTTTGATATTGCCATTTGATTGGAATAAACTTAAAAAATCAATGAGGATACTTCTAAAAGATATTTACAAAAATATATACAGGCAAAGAGAAAATTAGTAAACAATAATCTCAGTAAATGTGGCTGATATTGTTCAATATTTGTTAAAATATATACTAAATCCATGTTTAATGTGACATGATTAATGAGATTATGACATCATTTGCTTGCTATTAATTTAGTGCATAACACTATTAACAAAATTAGTGTGAATAAAAAGCAATCCTTATTGCATAATTCTGAGGTACTTTCACACAGTCACAACTTTTCAATACTCAGATTATCATTATTGAACTTTTCACTGAACATTATCATTGTAAAGTCACTTGCTTGGTTTGTAAAGTTGAGCCAATCTCCTTTTCTTTTCAAGGCGCCAGTGTTTAATTGCTTTGTCATAAGGGAAGTTATGTACACTTGGGCCAGATGATAATTTCATCAAAATGTCAAGGTTATCTGGGGTAAGGGAAGTTCTGGCTTTGATTTTGATTCTGTTTTGCAGACTGAAGCCGCGTTCACAAGCAACACTAGTGACTGGGATACACATGGCTATAGTTACCAACAGTGAAGTCAGAGGATATTCCTCTTGGTGTCGCCTCAACAAGACCTTATGAAATTCACTTAGAGTCAGTTGTTTGTAAGAACCATGCATTAATGTTTCTATTCCACTGAATTCCCTTTTAAGTTCCATTTCACTTATTTTGTAGAACTCAGCAAGTTCCTTCAAGTTGTCGGATGTCTCACATGCTGAGAGAAGGTCGAGACTACGGGGCTCAAGAACACTGAAGGCTTTCAGTATTGAAGTAGAGTCATTTGACAGTCTTTGTTCTAGGTGATGGCATACACTACCAATGTAATCGTTTTTCAATTTGTCCATTTGAGACTTCTCATTGGCATGTGTAAGTTGTATTCCCTTGAAGAATAATTTGCTTCCATTAGCACTGATATTGTCTTTAAATTCAGCAGTTCTTGTCCCTGTCACATTTTTAAGACCATTCAAACGTCCTAGAGCACTATCACGTAATATGTCCAGCTGACTTACATCTAAAGATTCAGCTTGAAGCTGTTTGCTTAAAATTCCAATAACTGACAGCACGTCACTTAATACAGCCGTAAAGGCAGGAAACTTATAATGTAACACATCCTTGAGTAGCCCTTCTGCGATGTTGTCACCTATTGTGTTTTTTCCCTCATTTGATTGTAGATAGGCCACAATTGAACCATAACACTTGTGAACAGTTGTAACAGCATTTTCCATCGCCAACCAGCGAATATTTATTGGATCCTTGAGTTTGAGTTGTGGTTCTTGCATGATATCTTGCATTGCCTCAAGTTTAAATGTCCTGATACCTGAACCTGACACATGAACATACAAATTTTTCAAAGTATCCCTATAATGTTTCAAGTACGGAACCTCCTTTGATGCGTCTGAACAGGCTAAAGCAAGTCTATGGGCCATACAATGGACATGAGTCAACAGAGGGGCGTCATTTCTTAACAACTGTCCTACACCACCTTTTCTCCCAAACATGACAGAGGCACCATCACTACCAAATCCAACTAAATTCACCATGTTAAGTCCAAGTGATTTCACTTTGTTCCTCAGTTCATTAGCTATTGTTAGCGCAGTCCCATCAGCAATTCGTATATCTCCAACTAATTGAGTCTTCAAATCACCAGTGTTTTTACACACATACCTTATATACATTATCAATTTCTTGTGAATAGACAAGTCTGTGCTCTCATCAGTAATAATTCCATAGTACTTAGCACTTTGTAGTTCACTTTTCATTTGTTCATCTAACACATGAATCAAACTTTTCTGCACACCAATGATAGTGTCACTATGCAAGTCTTTCATTTCTGGATCAACACCACTTAATCTTAAAAAATCCAGCTGCGTGTTCACGAAAGAATTTGGAAGATTTTGTTTTGCTACAAAGTATGTTGTGCGAAATAGGTGTTTTTCAGATTCTGAGATGTGTATGATGGGTTCTTCTTTTTCTACCTCTGGATCAGTACCATACAGCTGTTGTCTCATGTGATCAGCCTGCACAGCATGTTTGTGGTCCTTGGATTCATTGTGTTTTACAAGTGTGGATCTCTGTAGATTTCCTGAAATAAAAAAAACATGACAATTGTTAGCATTGTTAAATTTCATATTTGTAAAATAAAAAATATTGATTAAATATCTTTTGTGTTTACAATTATTTCTACCCAATACAATTTCAGTGTATCAAATGAATCATAACACATTAACAAATTTAATCAGGCTTGCAAATTAAAAGTTTTATGAAAATAATATGAACACCTTTCTCGACCAAATTATTTTTGTAAATGCTTACTGATAAAATAAAAGCTAACATATATTTAGTAATATTTACAATAAAAAATCAAAATATCATAAATTATTTTATTTCCTCACTATGTGCCGAGCATTTTATTTTTCAACAGTTAGCATGTTCATTTTTTTAATCAATAAGATAAATTTAATAGTTTAATTACCAGCCCCTTCCTTTGTGAAAGAATTTTGAATTTTTGCAGCACGACATACTTTACAGTACATCTTCTTGGAGTCTGAATTATATTCAAGCCAGTCAAATTGTTTGAGCCAATTATCTTGGAATATGCGTACAACAGGTTTTGAATTTTGATCACTTTTTGTTTTTTTGGAAAGTTGCTTTGGAGCAACATTCTCAGACTCATCATTTTTACGTTTTTGAGATATGCCAAATTGCAAAAGTGACCGTTGAGACATTTTGAGAATGTGATGAAAGTTTGGGTAGGGAATTAGGTTTTTAAATGTAACTTTGCTTCTCATAATTAGCGAGTGGAAAAAATTATATACAATCAAATCATGATCAATAGAATGTGTGAAAATTAAACGTCTTTAACTTCAAAAAGGAAAAAAAAATCAAAAGACAAAAAGTTGAAACACACTTCGCCGACTCGGCAAACTTTCGGATATCAATCAAAACTTGCCGATGCACACAATTGAATAAATCATTTTATCTAATTAAAGTAGAAACAGGTACCTACCTCGGTTTATGACAATTAACTGTCGATTATCCATACAAAATAAACAATTAATCCAATCACTTTGTTTTCACGCTTATCAAGGTCATAAATCAACACTCGCTAATTCGTCACATTACAGTTAGTCTTAATTGCTGATGATTATAATTGGTTCTTCCAAAGTGCCCAAACTTGCCTATATATGAATATAAAGACTTGGCATTGACCAGAGGTACACCTAGGTCTTTATCATCTCCTGCTGGTAGTAACCATATTCTATTTGAATTTTCTTTTTTTCAGCTATACTGACATTTGTTAACTGTTACAATGTGAAGTGGGCAACTCGAGTTCAAGATGTTTTCACTGTGGCCAAAATCATCGCCTTGGTAATGATTATCATCACAGGGATTGTGAAATTTGTAACAAGTAAGTAAATTATTTGTTATTCAGTATTTGTTTATGAATTATATTTGTATCCATTTAGGATTCTTCGTTTGATGAATTTTCATTCTAACCCATGGTGACTTGGTCAGTGCTGCAGGACTTAAAAGATACCATAACCTTACAGTTTTAGCAGTGTCTTTTTGGTACATATATTACACAGTACATATATAAACAGTTATAAACAAAACTTACCAGTAACTACATATTTCTGCGCCAAAAATTACTCAGTGGTCATTGCAATTCTTTGTATAAAATTAAGTATTTTTCAAATGTGTCTATTGTATTAGCTAGGCTTGAAAAATGGCAAACAATAAATTTTATTCAGTTAATAATTTATTTGGATTTTTAAATAGTCAATTTACAATAATTAAAATGAGTGTATCTTGGGGAAATAATTTTTTCTAAAGTTACTTTGCATTGTCAGGTTTTGTCTAATAATCCCAAATATATGAGGTTTTTTTTGGCACAATAGTCTCTCAGTATTGTGCTGAGCGCTGATAATTGGAATGCTTGGTTAGGGGGGAGAGGTAGACTTCTGATTGGGAACCCCCTACCCCCCGAATTAACTGGGAAAAACCAGAATATTTTTTGTTCTGGAGTAAGTCTATTGAACTATTTGTTTATCACATTAAGAAACACAGCCTATTCTGCTAAGCATAAAATTTTGTTTTTGTATTATCTCAAAGCCTTTGTTCTTTCATCTGTGCCAAGATCCTACCATTAGGTTAGATTTCGGACAAAGTTGATTCTCAAATTAAAAAATGTTTTATAGAATATATTGAAAACTTATCCCGAATAAAGCCATGACCTTTTATCTTTAACCCAAACAAAGTTGTTTATTTACATTTAGTATTATTGAAAATAATTGTTGGTCCCAAAAAGCTATAAAAATATTATTGGTCTTAAGGACTTTATGTATATTAGGTTTCATTAAATAGTATCAATATTTACAAATAAACTATTGTAGCGTATTTGTAACACATTGTTATAATGTGGAGAATTGTGCCGTGTAGACTACGAATTATATAATACAAAGTTTAATTGAAAAGAAAAAGAATGCTTAATAGAAAACAGCTTATTTTGAAATAAATTCTTATGTGGCTTTACCTATTTGTTGTACAGTAAAAAAAAATTAAGAAAATTTCGAGGAGTTTTTAGACAAAAGTATTATGAAAATATACATGTACATGTACCCAGGTCTTTAACATATGTGTATTTCTCTATTAAATTTAGATGTTTATGAAGTCAGCTGTGCAAAAAATTTTGTAAGATTTAAAATATTTTAATATTTTTTATGTCCCATTAAAATTATTGATGTTTGATAACCATTCATTCCCCTTAGAAAATGAAATTTTATTCAGACCATTGGCATGTAGATTATTTGATGAATTAATTTGATCAAATTGAAGTAAAAAAAACTCCCTATTATCATCCGATTTGTATCTTGTATGTGTCAATTAAGAAAAAAACTATCTTGTCTACCAATGCATAATGCATTTAAAGTTAATTTACAATGAACCTGAGTTTTTTGTATGTGTGAATTAAGAAGAAAAAAAACATCCTGTCCTATAAATTAATGCAAGTTCAAATTGATTTACAATGTACTGAGTGTTCATGTTTTTTTTGACAGATGATCAAGTTGAAAGTTTTGAGGAGCCTTGGGAAGGTACAACAACAAATCTTGGCAGCATTGCTTTCTCGTTCTACTCCGGTCTCTTTTCATATGCAGGATGGTAAGTGTCCATAACCCCTTTGCCTCCTGACGGCAACATATTTAATAACCTGTTCAAACAGTGCAGACCAAGATCAAGCCGACACCTTTGTGCAGATCATTGTTTTCACTGTTCACTAATAAGTTAGTAGTGTGAAAAGGATTTAAATCACTACAGTGTTTGAGCAGTGCCTCTAAATGCTTTCAGAAGTTGTGGTTACAATGTTGAAAAATATTGCTCTTTTCACAGATTCTTACATTTTTCATTTATTATCATAAATAAATATGTGTTAAGAGAATGAACTCTAGATGTCTGAAAGTTCATTTCTTAGAGTAAAAAGGTGAGATTTTAACATTATTGGAACATCACAGAACAACACAGTGGCAACAAACACAAATTGAATGGCAACAAAGCTGTTGCTTCTGGAAGTTTGACGCTGCCACTAAACAACGCCATCCCATAACACGAGAAACATCAATGTTGCTATAAAATTTTGTCATTGAAAGAAAAGTAGAAATCTATATAAAGACAAGTGCAGAAATACAATTATAACTATTGATAACTAGCACCTGTGGATTCATTTAAAGCTTCACACATTTTTCAGAATCATTTTCAGACATTCTAACACAACCCGCATTTTGCCCTATTGAACATAGAAGAACAGAAAGTGTGTGTTATTATGCAACAGATGCACAGTTTGACGTTCTATATTTAGACGTGTGACGTAATCATTTTACACGTGACGTAACCACTAAAATCCGATGCGCTGAAAATAAGTACGAAAACAAATCAGGCGCAATTTTGCTTAACTAACAAGTACGGCAACATTTATTTGTTGATGTGTTAGAATCGAAATAATATATCCAAATCAGTGATTTTATCGCTTGATAACATCACTGTTTGTCGGTCGGATGCGCATCATTATATCACTCGGGCTACGCCCTCGTGAAATAATTCCTTGCATCTGAACTCCAAACAGTGATGTTATTGAGCGATAAAATCACTGTTTGGGATATATTATTTCTTAAATAGTTTTGAACCAAGGGCCATAACTAGTATGAATTTTCACTAAATTATTTCCCTTTTTGAGCTTCAAGGCCTAAGTATAATGTTGTAGTACAGTTTCATTATCATGAACCAAGAAAATATTCAATTGACCTATCTGTAGACTGGGGTTGTTATTTTAACTTTAAACTTGTCATAATAGAAAATGGGTTTTTTCGCAAAATGTTAATTTATTGAATAAAATTTTTTGACCAATTTGTCAATGTGATGGCAACCCACTGTTTCAAAAGAATAAATGGACAGTATTTTTATAAAGAAAGAAATTCAAGATATCAACTGCACAGTTTGATATCGGTCCTGACATGTTCGGTTAAGATTTTGTTATTGGTTCAGTTGCATCGACACTGAGTGTTAAACTCATGTGGTTACTTTGCAGGATTGAAGTTAGCAACTGTCCGCAGCTTTGATCACTAAATTCTCATGGAACTGAAATTTGAAAGACAAAATGAAGAGTTTTACATTACATTATCTTTATTACATTATGTCATCAGGGCGTAATAACGCCTATTAACAGGTTAACTCATTATATAAGCTAATAGGAGTTAAACCGTTTTTGCACTAAGGTGATGATTAGTTCTTTAGTTGTGGTCTACATTTTAGTCAACTGTCAGTTTATTTGAATATCCTTAGGAAATTTTATTTATATTTAGAAGCTTACTAGGTTTAGGCAAAAGTTATAGATGTAATTAAAACATTTTAAATGCTTCATATATGAGATCATTTTAATGTGGATATTTTGTAAATATTTTGTTGATGAAGCAAATATTTTAAATGGTCTGACATAAAGTGAAATGATTTTAATGTTATTTTAATGTATAAGTTAACTTTAAAGGGAATAAATCCCTGCAAATTTTGTTTCATTTTGTATGAGTGCACATTTACATGTAACCTTTGTTATTATAAATATAAGTAAACAAGTAATTATAGGTAATTATTGATAAATCGGTGCATCATTGATATTTATCATCCGATATCAAGCTATTTTTGTCTTGATATGCTTTGCGCTGAATCAATGATCTAGCACAACCATACTATAATTTTAACTGATAAATATTAAATAAATTTTAATATTAAACAATGCACACAGTTCATAATTTGAAGTACATGTAGGCTAGGTCCATTTTAAGTTAAGATATATTTAAGTTCAATGGGTTAACTGTCAATGGGTTGTGGGGCAAAATAAGAGTTATAGCCTAATTTTGAATGGCCCGGTTGTCCTTTGATGACTGAAACAAAAATGTCCTGATTTATTTCCACTAGGACATTGAAGCCGTCACTGATCTGTCTGGTCAACGAGTTTAATGTAAAAGATCTATAGAAAATTTGAGTTTTTTATGACGATAAGATGTGGCTTGGGTGACAGGTTTTAAGGTTTTATATTTCAAGACGTAAATAATTGCGGACAGACAGTAATGTCTGACAGCAGGTATAGTGACTTTTGTAAATGTACAATTATAAAGCCACAGGTATTTTCTTTTCTGAACAAATGACTTCAAAATTGTTTATTTTATGTTCAACAACAAACATAGGGTCATGTTCGCAAGTTGTGAAAGGTAATCCCAAGTGTTAGAATGCTAGGTTATTTAGATACCTTATCAACATCTTAAAACATTCTTTTACTTTGGTAAAATACAAAACAAACAAGATCTGGGTGTTGAAATGGGACCTATATTGACAATTATCGTGCAGTCAAAATAGTTTGTTTACATGCTATTCTCTAATGAACTTGTTACTTTAACCATGGCCTTTTCAAAAGATAGGAACAATAAGATTTTTTTCTACATTTGTGTGTGTGTATGATGAAATCAGGAAAATTTTGTCAACTGCACCTTTGAAATGTAATTTTTTTTACATATATAAATGAAACATTAAGTAGCATACTACCTAACCAACATAAATTTAGTAAAATACCAAGTCAAGATAGCACATTAAAGACACCTCAAAATATTAAAGGTCAGTCACACAAACCCTCTCTGGACTTAGATTTTGCTTTACTCTTTCCATGCTATTTTTTTTTAGTAACTTGTCCTTCTTTCAATCTGAACAATAAAGGAAAATATTAACTCACTTATGAATTTCATGAAATATTTTGGCACATCTGGAGGCATGTAGCTTTAAAGCCTTGAGTCAGGAATGCATTAACCATTATTTATTATTGAAACACATACAATTCAATTCAGTTAAACAACTTTTATCGTTTTTATTTTCAGGAACTACCTCAATTTTGTGACGGAGGAACTTAAAGATCCATACAGGTATTGCAATTATTTTATATTCTGGCTAAATGTTGCAATGTATGTGGGCTTAGATTGTTGGTGTGTAGGTTCCTTCCATAGAACTTTACCCTTTAAGCTAAATGTTGCACTTTACCTTTATTTTAGGCTAAATGTTCCAAAGGCTACTGTGATAGCTTTCTTAGATTTTACAAAAATGACAGTATAAGGTTCTGGGCTGCAATTACTTTATTGTAACACTATTTCTTATTTGGTAAAGCGCCATCTGGTTTCCAAGTACAAGTACTCTGGTATAACACTGTGTGACATATGAGTTTAATTTATGATTTGATTATTACATGTATTTGTTACTTTCTAATTAATTCCAAGTGCTTATAAATATCTTTAGTTATATTCAAGTTAAACTATTGCCAATCAAAATTGTTCTCTTGTTTGGTTTGGCATTATGACACTGTAAGAAAATACGGCTGTAGACAGGATGAAAATTGTTATAAAAAGGTAAGGGCTCTTCAGTTATAAGTCTTTTTACTATTGCCAATCAAAACTGTTCTGTTGTTTACAAATACTCCTGTTTGGCATCAATATGGCACTTAGAGGAATACGACTGTAGACAGGTTGAAAATTGTAATATAAAAATGTAACGGCTCTTACAAGATATTTATTATCCTGATGAAGGTCTTGCAAGACTAAAACCGGTAGATCCTAGAATAAACCAGTTACAAACCATCCTGATGTTTGATGTGTGTTCTCTCCTTCTCTTGATTTACTTGTTAAGATATTTATTAGATCGTTTATATGGCTTTTTACTGTTGTCAGGTAGGGATAGGAAAAAAAAATGTCTGCTTGTCATAGAGTGAAGTAAAAGGTCGGCACTAAATATTTAATTTAAAGGAACTCCACTGAGGTCAAAGGCCTAAAAAATGAAATTTGAATTTCTTACATAGATCAACTGGCTTACTCACAGTGGAGAAACTTAAACAAGAGGATATCAAAAGATGATTACGAAATATATATTAACCCATTACTTCATATACACGCCTTTTAACACCTTTTTCACCCCCCCCCCTTTTTTTGTTGTCTCAAATGATACAAAATGCCTTATTTAGACCCCAAACACTTGTTTTTGTTTGAGAAATGTTGTTAAAAAAGTGACCTCTTTTTCGGCGCGGCACCCCAACCAAAAGATACATCAGGGGGTTGCCAGAAGGGGGATGTGCCCAAGAAAATTTTGGACTTGTGAGAGGCTGTAAATGACCCAAGAATGATCATAAGGTAACGTGTAACCAACGCTGAAAAGCATTTGACTCTATCTCAATCCATTGAGAAGTTGCAGCACTTTGAAATAAATTTTGATGGAAAAAATCAACGCAAAATAGTGATTTCTGGCAATTTTGAGATGTCCCCTCGTTGCCAAGGTAACAGAAAATTTAAGCCTGAGCATGTTGTTGCAAGGGCAATGGTCCAGTCAACATTTGTGCCAAGTTTGATTAGTGTTGAAGCAGTTTTTATAGTATTATAGCAATTTGAACTTGTAACGGGAGACTTTTCAATAAAAACAGCCATTTTTCACAAAATGGTCATGAAGTAATGGGTTAAGAAAAAAGTGAAAACTTATATTTTTATGCTAGTCTGATCTAAAAGAAGGTAGTTTTTGTGAAATTAAATAAATGCACTTGGAAAAGTAGCTATTCCTTAATATTCATATTTAATAATACAGTAGCATTAAGTAAAGGTCAGAAAGTAATTATTGCTGTCGTTGATTACTGTAATAAATATGCCAGCTGCATCCATAAATGTTAGGCAAAAAAAAAATGTTATATTTTACGTCCCGTACCTACCCTCTTATTTTTGGACTGCAGGCCTTAGTATTTTTATTAACATTTTTTCAATAAGTTTTCCTGACTATATGTCAAATTATATTTAAAGAATATAAATATAAGTGAAGACCTATCGAGAATTTTTTATTAGAGGACCAGAAACAGAACTTTGTATCTTTTGGCCTAAGTACATGTAGGTTTTTTTATAAACATATATATTATGCTTATATTTAGACAAGAAATTAATGCTACCAGTGAGTTCATGTACATGTATGTTTTGGATAATTACATGTGTTAAGTTTACATAGAACATATAAAAATTGTCAATTACCTGTTGTCCAATAAATTTAACAAATATATACAGAAAAATTATATAAGAAAATGTTTTACCAAATAGTTATGTGAGCTGTATGGAGGTCTGACATATAGGTTGTATTTTTCACAGGTTTTGAACAAAATTGTATAAATTTATGTATGCAATTGAATACCATATGTTATGCAAATATACTGGCTATTAAAAATACATCTGTAACAATTTGGTGAATTATGATTTGTCAATTTATTATACATTAGCATTTAATCTTTAGCATTATTGGGACTATAGAATTACTTTAAAAAATCCATGACAAAATATACATTTTTGTTTACATCTGTCTGTTGGTGCAGTATAGAACTCTTTATTCCAAATCAATGTTCATAGATCATATAACCCTCCCAGTGAACATACATTTTTTTTCGATATTCAGTAAATGATAACAGTTAAAAATTGTAGAAGTATTTGTTTGCTAATTTTGAACAAAAAAAAATCTATTTGTAAACTGAATGAATGCCACTGTAATTAAAGCCATGTGCTTAGCCATTTAGCTTTTTATGTGTAGAGTATATTTTGATATATAGAGCATTGTAGAGCGTTGGATATGTAAAGCATAAGATATGTAAAACATTAGATATATAGGGCATTAAATATGAAGACATTAGATATTTTTGGAGCATTTTTTATCATTAGATATTACAGTATTTGGGTATCATTTTTATATGTGAGTATTTATATGTAAAGCTTGGAATGTAGACATGAGATATTAAAGGCATTTATATAAGAGCATTGGGTGAGCATGAGATATAGATCATTAGATATGCAGATCATTAGATATGTAGAGCATTAGATATATAGAGCATTGGATATGTAGAGCATTGGATATATAGAGCATTAGATATGTAGAGCATTGGATATGTAGAGCATTGGATATATAGAGCATTGGATATATAGAGCATTGGATATATAGAGCATTGGATATATAGAGCATTGGATATATAGAGCATTGGATATGTAGAGCATTAGATATATAGAGCATTAGATATAAAGCGTTGGATGTATAGAGCATTGGATGTACAAATCCTAGATTTGAGAGTTTGTGTCATGAGTGCAGCACATGTGACAATTTGAATGTACAGAGTGCCATTAATTATCCAGCAGTGTTTCAAATGACTGATAAACTTGTTACTTTCTTGTTTAAAGAAAGGTTGTCTATCAGAAACTCTGACTGTCCAATTTTGGGAATTGCTTGCTAATTTAGTAAGTGCTTGCTTATTTGGTAAGTGCTTTCTGGTTTCTGAAAGAAATGCTGTCAATAAAGTACTGGTGAACTAGCAGAGGAAAAACTAAAAAGTTGAGTATTTGTATAGATTATTGAATGATTGATTTAATGAATGATTTACATTTCAGAAATTTACCTCGAGCAATCTGGATATCCATTCCATTAGTGACAATCATTTATGTGCTGGCAAACATTGCATACTTTACTGTCCTTACACCACATGAAATGCTGATGTCAGATGCTGTAGCTGTTGTAAGTATAACTCTTTATCTTTAAATCATTTAATACTGGCTTGAGTGGCAGTAATGGAGAGACAATGATGCCAGGGTAGACTCAGGTAGTTCTGCAAATAGCGCTGTGCAGTCGGGCCTAACTCGACTGTTAGATAGTTGTAATTTATGTTTGGATTTTGAAATCCTGAAACCTTGAGTCTGCTATCAGGATATTACCTCCTATGTTACCAGTTTAGACCAAGATCAGGTGATACATCCTGCCGTCTGATCATGGTCTGTAATGTTAACTTTTCAATCGGTTCATATTTTTAAATTTTCCTAAAAAATAATGAATGGTTTTGTCCAGATTGTAAGATGGACAAGTCCATTTAAGATATTTAGTGTGTTTAGGATTAAATAAAAAATGGATTATTCTATGCAGCAGCAGCATATATGTCAGTAGTCACAGTTGGAAGTGAAAATTCTTGTGTCATTTAGTTACAGGAGCATATTTTTAATACATATGGTACATTTCAAATTTTGTCAAATTGATATTTTTAAGTTAAAAAAAAGGTTAACTTTTAAAGGTAGTCAATATATATGTCTTAGAGGTCTCTTTTTGCAGTTTAAAAATGAAATATTGAATGTCTGAACTTAAGCTTTTTAAGTGTTCATTATTTATGTCAATAAATGAAATCTATTTTTCACTGGCTAGTACTGGTTTTTGGCCGAGTTATTTATATACAGAAGCTATTAAGTGTCAACATTCATTTAATAGATTTTAATACTTGTAAAGTTGAGAGGGAAAAAATGTACTGCCACTTATTGTTGGCAGAATCACTTAAACTGGAAAACATTTATTATTATATTTACTAATATCGAGTGATTATCAATATAGTAAAAATAATTCTTAAGTGTCGAGGGTTAGAGTTGATGACTTCTACTCCAGTTACCTCTCTGGCGTGGGTTCGATCCACGGGAGATGCTTTGGTAGTTTAGCATGGAGGAAGGTAGTCTAGTACTGGTGTAACTCTCCAGGAACGATGGTTAGGAAACTACCCGCCTATATGACTGAAATACTGTTGGAAAAAGGCGTAAAATGAAACAAACAAACAAACAAAAGTGTGTTTTGTTTGCCGATAATATTGAGATTAATGATATACAAATAGAAATGATATTTAATGAACTGTTTAGGAATGGTTTAATGAGAAACTGTCTGTGATATCAAGTTATTTACTGTGTAATTTGCTGTCATTGGGATTTTTCCTAACATGTTCTTTTGGGTTGTCATAGTCATACAATGATTTTGCTTACAAAATTACCCAGTATTGGCTGTTGACTCACTAACAATGTATGGTTACTCGTAAAGTTTTAATGACTCTTTAGCAGTTTATCATGTGAAATTATGAGCACCTGTTCCACAAGACTAATCTTTACAAAAAGTCATTACTTATATTGATTGTTGCAACTAGTATATCCATTATTTTACGTAAAGAAATATGAAGAAAAATGATATATCCATTATTTTATGAAAGAAATATGAAGAAAATCCACATGTTTGAGTTATGGAAGTGTTATCCCCTGTCATTCCAATTGAGCAACGGAAATGTTACCCCAGCCATAAGTGCTTATGGACTACCCTGGATCATAGGCTCCTTGCAACAAACAAACAGTCCTGATTTATAATTACATATGTATAACAAATTATTGCATGTGTATAACAGAATGAAATTGATAAAACTATACTTATAGTTTTAATCTGAGATAAAATATTATTATAATTTTACATATTCCTATGTTTGCAGACATTTGCAGATCGTACATACGGTGTTATGAAATGGATCATGCCAGTTTTTGTAGCTTGTTCAACATTCGGTGGTGTAAATGGGGCCATTTTTACATCAGCTAGGTTTGTTGAATAAAATTTACTTTTAACTTGGATTGAACATAACAACATGCACGCAAGTTTTCATGCATTTGCACGAAGTTCAGGTTTTAATATACACCTAAATAAAACTTATTAAAATTATGCTTAATTGAGAGTTTTCATGTTTTCTAATCCCATGTTAAGTATTACTGAAAACTTTTAAAAGTCTTTAAAAAGAGTGCTGGAACTTATGTATTAAATTAAGGTGTATTATTATTAGAACTTATTACGATAATAGAATTTATAGTGTAACCTTTGCAGAACAGCTCTCAGTAGAGCAATTACCTTTTTACAATATTTTGTAATTTAACCTGTCTAGAGCATGTGTGTTCCGTGGCCGAGTGGTTAAAGGTTGTTGACTTCAGACCTTTTGCCTCTCACCACTGTGGATTTAGAGCTGTGCATGTGTTGTCAGATTCTACATGTGAGAAAGCTATTCAGCTAGCTTACGGAACATTGGTGGTTCTCCTCAGGTGCCCATTTCTGCCTGAACTAATGTACAGAGGTTGTACCTAGGGTTTTCCTCCAGTAAAAGCTAGAAAGTTGCCATATGACCTATACTGTGTTGGTGTGACTTAAAACCCAACCCCACAAAAAAAGAAAGAGCAACACCCCGCAACAACCAAAAATTGAATATATTTGTCACCAAAATGATGCTTCTGTGCAGAGTTTGTACTGAATGATGTTATTTGCAATAACTTTTTGATAAAATCTAAATATTACATATTGTTATTTTTGTTTTGTAGGTTGTATTTTGTGGGAGCACGGCAGGGACATTTACCAGGTTTCCTAGCAACCATCAGTACAAACAGATTCACACCTATGCCTTCTTTAATATTTGGAGTAAGTTCAGTTTTTTTCTGAGGGTTTTTTGTTGGTTTTATTTATTAGATAATTTGCCTAATGATATGGCTACACCCACTTTGAACTTTACCTTATAGGATTGAAGGTGCCGGACCCCAGCATAGGGCCAGGCCAGTCTGAATTGCCGGGAGTATGACAAGGCACTATACTGAATAAAGTTAAATTTTCACCTAAATATCCCAAAACTCCTTAAACTCTAGGCCACCTCTTTCCTTACCATTGATGAAGTGAACCGGATTTCATCAAGTTGATATGATCATAAATGTAACATTAGTGAACAAATTGTTTCATATGTGATTTTATTTCAGGCTTAAATCTTGTGTAACATTGTTTTCAACAAGTTGACTTAATTACAAATGTAAAACTAAAATTTTGAATTTGGACAATCTTAAATCATTTGTTCAGGTTTTTTTCTCACTAAATAATGGCGCGTTAAATGATATTTCAGTGTATTGTATCACTAATAATGTTGAGTTACGATGACTTGTTTGCGTTAATCAACTACAGTAGTTACGTCACCTCGGCATTTATGGCGGTGTCTATTGCCGCACTCTTGTATTTACGAATTACCCAACCTCATTTGGAACGTCCAATTAAGGTAAGTATATGTCCCTGGTCCCTGTATGTGTAATAATTTCGGAGGTGCCCGGGAAATTACTTGGGGACAAAACCTCTCGCATCAAATGTTTCAGAACTTCAATCATATTTCGGACCAATTTATGTTTGACCTGCCAGTTATAGGAACAAAGATGGTGGAATTCTGATGGATTCAAAGGGATTGGATATAAGATTTAAAGGGATTATATAAAAGGTTTTGTCCCTAACCAGAATCAGACAAAAGAAGCCAAAAGTCAATGTCCTTTTTCTGGTTTCATCTTCCAAAGTATTGAGCTGACTAAGGGTTATTGTTGGGAGTTTTAAGTAACAAATCCAGAAACAGACATTTATGTTTTAGGCCTTAATAAAATATGTTGGTGACGGGGTCATTGCCGGTATATGTGTAATAATTAACGAACGAGGTATTATTTCTACTTTCAGTGTGTTCTGTCATTGCCGGTATATGTGTAATAATTAACAAACGAGGTATTGTTTCTACTTTCAGTGTGTTCTGTCATTGCCGGTTTTTGTGTAATAATTAACGAACGAGGTATTGTTTCTACTTTCAGTGTGTTCTGTCATTGCCGGTATTTGTGTAATAATTAACGAATGAGGTATTGTTTCTACTTTCAGTGTGTTCTGTCATTGATTATGTTGAGCTCAGATGACATATTTGCCTTAATCAACTATGCAAGTTTTGTTGAATCTTCATTTATCGGCCTCAGTATAGCCGGGATGTTATATTTACGATACAGTCGACCCGATATGGAAAGACCCATTAAAGTAAGTATAGATATGAAAAAAACTGCAGAGTCAAAATTACATAAATTATCATTAAAATGCATAGATTTTATGATTATTTACATATTCATTGAAATGAGTAAGTTTTTGTTTGAAAATTTGTAAGTAGCTTAATGGTGTAATGCAAATATGGTCATCTAAGCTTGTGTGACTTATACTAAGACACTCTATTCAACTAAAAATCAGTTTTATTTTATCATGTCTGGATATTTTATGGTATTCATGTTTCTGCTGGAACTACATGTATATCCATTTGTGCTAACAAATGGAGAAAAATATACAGAAATGGATAACAGTGAACTCTCTAGAGTAACTCTACAAATAATGATGAATTCTTAATGTTTGTTATAATATTTTGTGTACTGAAACATTCTAAGTTACAAATAATTGTTTCTTTCTGTGCTGTTGCTAAATTGCTAACACTTATGTTTAATTTTTGAGGGTGAATTGAAAATCTCTCCAAGATACAAATATTTGTTTTAGGAAAAAGTTCTTTTTGACTAAAGAATTGTCATAGAGTTTAGTGCCACAACCATATTTAGCTCACCTGTCACAAAGTGACAGGGTGAGCTTTTGTGATCGCTTTTCGTCCGGCGTCCGTCCGTCCTTCCGTCGTCCGTAAACTTTTTCTTTAAATGACATCTCCTCATAAACCACTAAGCCAATTTCATCCAAACTTCACAGGAATGTTCCTTTGGTGGTCACCTTTAAAAATTGTTTAAAGAATTTAATTCCATGCAGAACTCTGGTTGCCATGGCAACCGAAAGAAAAAACTTTAAATATCTTCTTTTAAAAAACCATAAGAGCTAGAGCTTAGATATTTGGCATGAAACATCTTCTAGTGAGTGTCTACCAAGTTTGTTCAAATAAAAGCTCTGGGGTCAAAATTGGTCCCGCCCCGGGGGTCATTGATTTTCCCTATATGCATATAGTAAAAACTTAAAAAATCTTCTTTTAAAGAACCCAAAGAGCTAGAGCTAAGATATTTAGCATGAAACATGTTCTAATGGGTGTCTACCAAGTTTGTTCAAATAAAAGCCCTGGGGTCAAAATTGGCCCCACCCCGGGGGGTCATTGATTTTCCCTATATGCATATAGTAAAAACTTAAAAAATCTTCTTTTAAAGAACTCAAAGAGCTATGGCTAAGATATTGAGCATCAAACATGTTCTAATAGGTGTCTACCAAGTTTGTTCAAATAAAAGCCCTGGGGTCAAAATTGGCACCGCCCCAGGGGGTCATTGATTTTCCCTATATGCATATAGTAAAAACTTAAAAAATCTTCTTTTAAAGAACCAAAAGAGTTAGAGCTAAGATATGTAGCATGAAACATGTTCTAATAAGTGTCTACCAAGTTTGTTCAAATAAAAGCCCTGGGGTCAAAATTGGCCCCGCCCCGGGGGGTCATTGATTTTCCCTATATGCATATAGTAAAAACTTAAAAAATCTTCTTTTAAAGAACTCAAAGAGCTATGGCTAAGATATTTAGCATCAAACATGTTCTAATAGGTGTCTACCAAGTTTGTTTAAATAAAAGCCCTGGGGTAAAAATTGGCACCGCCCGGGGGTCATTGATTTTCCTTATATGTGTATAGCAAAAACTTAAAAAATCTTCTTTGAAAAAACCCAAATAGCTAGAGTTAAGATATTAAGCATGAAACATCTTTTAGTGAGTGTCTACAAAGTTTGTTTAAATAAAAGACCTGGGGTCAAAATTGGCCCCGCCCCGGGGGTCATTGATTTTCTTTATATGTGTATAGCAAAAACTTAAAATCTTCTTTGAAAAAACTCAAATAGCTAGAGTTTAGATGTTAAGCATGAAACATCTTCTAGTAAGTGTCTACAAAGTTTGTTCAAATAAAAGCCCTGGGGTCAAAACTGGCCCGGCCCCAGGGGTGTCATTGTTTTTAACTATATGTGTATAGTAAAAACTTTAAAAAAATCTTCTTTTAAAAAGCCCAATGAGCTAGAGCTTAGATGTTTAGCATGAAACATCTTCTTATGGGTGTCTACCAAGTTTGTGCAAATAAAAGCCCTTGGGTAAAATTGGCCCTGCAACATTGGGGGGGGGGGCCTATATACAGGTGAGCGACCTCAGGGCCATCATGGCCCTCTTGTATAGATTAAATAGAGCACATATTTTATAATTACTCAATTATTTGATGTTCAAATTTATGTGCTTTTTATTAAGACCAGAGAATAATGATTTAATTAGGTTTATATTGGTCTTCCAAAAATGTTTGATACTCAATAATTATTTGTCTGAATGGCCTGTTTGACGGAAAAGTTAGTCACTGTCTTAAATAGGGTAAAAACCAAAACAATTTTAAATATCAAATTAAATTTCACAAATATCACTAAATATTAAATATCACTGTCTAAAAAGAGCTCTGTTGATGTTCAAAGGTCAGAAGAAAAAAAAACCGATCTACCTTACAAAAAATTGATGGTTCTACTCATGCTTAAATAAGGAACTGTGCAGCAACTCGGGTGTTCTTCTATACGAAAGTCGCCATAATATGGCATTTATAGTGCAACTGTGACTTAATGCTCAAGTTTTTATCATAATATTAATGAAATTTATTTTTCTGTTTCAGGTATTTATTGGTTTTCCGATATTTTTTATGGTGATTTGTCTATTTTTAATGATTACACCATTAACAAACAGTCCGATGGAATGTTTTATGGGTATAATAATGGTATGTACTGGTATACCGGTGTATATTATTGGTGTCAAGTGGAAGTCCAAGCCACAGTTCTTCACAGATTTGTTAGGTAAGTTTGTAACAAATTATAACAAAACAACATATGTATCTCTTTCACAAAGTTATCAGTCTTTGAAGTTTTGAGGGGTTAAGCCCCTCTTTATCAAGGAGTTTGCTGTTTATTTAATGAGTCACATTTAAACCATTTTTTTTCCATAAATACTAAGTTATTTACAAATAACTAAAGGAATTGAAATTGTTGACATCAATAAAATGACACGAACAATAGCAATTATGTCCAAAATTGATGATGGCATTTTGTTTAAAGTTTGTTAATAATAGTGATAATAATTCTAACGTTAATTATTATTATTATTAAATTATTATTAAAACGCCATCTTCAGTTTTATCGGAATTTCTTTTGTTGACGCCAACTACATCATTTCCAGATACTATTTGTAAATAAGTGATTGCTATGAAAAAAGGAAGTTAATAATTTATGTGATTCATAAAAAAACAAAAAACAAAAAACAAACAAAACAGCAAAATTTCTGTTGTAATATATCTATCAGTTTCATGATTTTTTTGCAACTCCCTATTCAGTTTACTCTTTATTGACCTGCTATAACATTAAAAAAAAATTTGAGGAAAATGTTTGAAAAAAAATGGTTTTAAATTCAGTTTTGAGATAAGAAAAACTAAATTTCTTTATCCTCTTTTTGAATTGTTTTTAAAGATAAATTGTTGAGATAAAATACTTCTTCTACATTAGCGGTGATATTATACCTCTTACAAGCTGTTTTTAAGTTTGCTTTTATTTTTAAAATTAAGATTGTTTTGCTTTGTAGCTTAGCTATTTGGTATTAGCCCATAACACTCAATAAAATTTGAATACAAGTTCTTTTCTTAAAAGCTATCAAGGTTATTCACTTTAAACTTCACAGAATTTTTTCGAGTCATGATTTAAGGCCTATGTGGAAAACTTGCGCAACCTTTCTGTAAAACTTCAAGTGCTTAGCAATTCTTGAAACAGCAAATAAAAGTGTGGTCTTTATACAAATGTATAAAGGTAGTGCCTAAAAACATGTGATCTTTCTGTACAAGTTTACATGAATAGAAAAAAAAACTCTATCTTTTTTTTACAGACAAGTTTTCAATTATTACACAGAAGACATGTATGAGTGTAATGGAGGAAATGAAGGAAGATTAGACGATGCAGCACAGACCGGCTGTTCCCATGTTAATATAAGTATTACTGCTATATGTTTGTTGACAGCTGGGCCGAGACATTTTAGTAGTAATTAGTGGTACTGTCCACAGGTTTTTAACCAGGTTTTCCGAAGGAAAAAACTGGTTATTAGATTGAGGTATGTCGGCGGGCGGATGGGCGGGCGGGCGTTAACAATTTCTTCTGTGCGCAACTCCTCCTACATTTCTCAACGGATTTTGACCAAACTTTCACAGAAGCTTTGTCATCAAGTGCCCTGGCGCATATTGTCGGGGTTTTGCCATTGGATAATATTTGACCTAATTATGGCCCTTTGTTGTTTTTTCTTATATAGAATATATAGTGAACAATTTCTTCTGTGCGCAACTCCTCCATCATTTCTCAACGGATTTTGACCAAACTTTCACAGAAGCTTTGTCATCAAGTGCCCTGGCACATATTGTCGGGGTTTTGCGATTGGATAATATTTGACCTAATTATGGCCCTTTGTTGTTTTTTCTTATATAGAATATATAGTGAACAATTTCTTCTGTGCGCAACTCCTCCTATATTTTTCTACGGATTTTGACCAAACTTTTACAGAAGTTTGTCATCAAGTGCCCTGGCACATATTGTCCGGGTTTTGCCATTGGATAATATTTGACCTAATTATGGCCCTTTGTTTTTTTTCCTTATAAAGAATATATAGTGAACAATTTCTTCTGTGCGCAACTCCTCCTACATTTCTCAACGGATTTTGACCAAACTTTCACAGAAGCTTTGTTATCAAGTGCCCTGGCACATATTGTCGGGGTTTTGTGATTGGATAATATTTGATGTAATTATGGCCCTTTGTTTTTTTCCTTATACAGAATATATAGTGAACAAATTCTTCTGTGCTGAACTAGTCCTACATTTCTCAACAGATTTTGTTCAAACTTTCACAGAAGCTTTGTTATCAAGTGCCCTGGCGCATATTGTCAGGGTTTTGTGATTGGATAATATTTGACCTAATTATGCCCCTTTGTTTTTTTTCCTTATACAGAATTATCAATATATAGTGAACAAATTCTTCTGTGCTGAACTAGTCCTACATTTCTCAACGGATTTTGTTCAAACTTTCACAGAAGCTTTGTCATCATGTGCCCTGGCGCATATTGTAGAGGTTTTGTGATTGGATAATTTTTGACCTAATTATGGCCCTTTGTTTTTTTTCCTTATTCAGAATACATTTTTTCCTTATACAGAATATACAGTGAACACTTCTTCTGTGGCAATTCCTCCTACATAATTCATGTTTTACATTGCACATAGTTACATTGTTTATTGCTTGCATTTGTATTACAAATACAACATATTTATCTACAATGGAGATAATTGAAAACCTGGTTTCGTGGCATTGCCATGTTTCTTGTGTTGATATTGTCAACAGTTTTTGATGATGCTGTCAACAGTTTTTGTTGATATTGTCAACAGTTTTTGTTGATATATCGAGAATCAAATAATTCCATGTATGGCATTGACTTATAGAAGGAAACAAGAAAGAAATATGTTCATCCATATCAAAACAGAATTGGCATTTTAGTGGTCATATTTGATGATTATTATATTTTTATAAGGCAATGAACTAAAATAAGTTCTGTGATGATTTACTGAACCATGGAGTAGATGGGAAAGATTAATATATTTGCTATGGGGGGAGGTTTAGATAACATAAACCTACATTAGATCGTTAGATTTTTATAACAGGTTTTCAAGGAAATGATGATTAGAGAGGAAATGAATAATCATGTACAAATATAATAAAATGCGACTCTTTTCTTAAAATATTTTTATAGGTGTTGAATTAGAGTTTTGTTAATGTATAAAATGTGATACTGCAGAAAAAATAATTGCCTTTGTTTTATATTTGATGACTTGCTAGACACTGCCACTGTGGAAGTGACAGCATTAATAAATGGGACTTGACTTGTAAGACAATGTGGGATAAATTGGCTTGACTTGTAAGACACCGTTGTTTTTTTTTCCTGCCTTTTTAACAAATCAGGGCTGATCTAGAAGATAACTGTTTATATTATAGTAGATATTTTATATATTTTTAGGATAATGACCTTTATTTTTGTTTGTATGGTGATGCTCAAGGGAAATGGTTATAGTTTGAAGCAAACTTCTTTTAATAGATGAAAGAATGTAACATTTGCAGATATTTTTAGAAATTTTTGTAAGGAGAATTCTTGCATTTATGTTATTTTAGCTTGTTGTTTTTTTAATGATGTTAAAAAAATGGGCATGCTGGGTCATCATAATTATTAACATCATTAAATGAAGTTAGGATGAATAATCAAAATCTCAGTGTGTATATAAATGTTAATTATTGAAAATTTGGAAATTTAATAATTTAATTAATACATTCTAAAAAATATTACATGTATATCTAAATGGTGTTTTGGAATTGGTTAGACTTAGGGATATGTAAATTGGTGAATAAAAGCCTAACCATGGTTCATATATTGTTAGATGAAACAATTATGTAATAATGATATTAAAAAATACTAATGCATTTTGATCGTCTATTTTGAAACTTGGTGTCATATTTATGTAATATTTTATATTTGTATCTAATTAATCTTTTTTGATAACACTATGTCAAATTAATTTCAAGTAATGTAAACAAATAATTCTATTTGAATTAATCTTCAGGATATTTAATACATTTGTCTCTTAATATATACAAGTCAATATGTTTGAACTAATTACTAACTTTTTACTTGATTAATCGTTAATGTTAAGATTGTTTGAGATTTGTTGTTATGTTTTGTACATAAATCTTTCTTGAGATTTGATATTACATGTATATATTATATTTTACTCTTAACATTGATATGGATAACTTCATTTCTACCACATTTCTTTTTGTGATTCTTACACTGCTTTCAGGTACCGGTAGTCCTGTTTATGCAAATAATTTTCTGTTGTTGTTGTTGTAAAATGCATTTACTGCTTTAAAGGAACTTTACTGAGGTCAAAATCTTAAAATCATAAAATTTGAATTTCTTACATCAACTGCCGCACTTAGAACAGATAGCTATGCAATAGATATTTAAGAAATATACTCAGAATGTATGCTCAGCTTTTCAATTTTGGATCATTTTTTCACAATAAGAATAATTATTCTGGAAAAACAGAGTTAGCGAATGATCTGAAATTTTGCACACAAGTTATTGGTCTAAAACTACATCAAACGGAGCATTAATCTCGAAAAATTATTTTCAGTCCTGTCATGTTAAAAAACCTCAGTGGAGTCCCTTTAAAGTGCCTATTCACATTTGATAATTTTTACGGTTAAATATGGATGATATTTTTAGTAACAGTCATATTCTGTAATGCTATAGCTACAACTGTTGAAAATTGTTTGCAATTTTGTGATATGTGTACATGTATATTGAAATATGCTGTCATGTTTTTCAGAATTTTAGTAAATAGTCCTGTAATGTAGATAGTACCTACACAAGAAATCCTTTCTTCAAGCACCCTTTTGCATACATTTTGATCTAATTTGAATTTTATTGTGTATTTGTGAAATTTAGTCTAAAATTAGTTAAAATAGACATTGTTTTATACAACATACATTCAAACTGAACCTAACGATAACCTCCGAGTAGCTATCATTTTCCTACTACTGTCATTTTGATTTCCCTATGATGAAAATCCTGATATAAATTGCCACAAATACAGTGTGTAGAGTTAAAAAAATAACATATCTACTTTGTGTGATGTCTAAACTTCTTCATATTAGCAAAGACACTGTGTAGTAATTCTCAATATTTTCAGCTATCAAATTTTATCATATATCTTTAAAACATAAAAAAACCCATAAAATTTGAAATTCTTAGATGATCATGTAGGGCATGTTAAAACAGAAAATACTCAAAAATTTGATTTTTAAAGATATTTGCTCAAAATTAAATTGAAAATGAATTTTTTGTGCGATCCTCAGCCAGATTTTAGTTAAAAGCATTTTAAAAAAAGAACATGAAGTAATTACCATCAGTTGCCAAAATATAAATTTGATGTACAAACTGTAAACATTCACTTAAAGTTTTTACTTTGTTTGTAGTTAGGTTTAGAATGATGTAGAATGTTTTATTTTGATTTTAATCTTGAGCAGGAAAGAAAAACCGTCTGGTACTTGAAAGTTGAAATATTCTGAAATCTTCTGTTATGATCAGCATGTTTGTTTAGTCATGGTTTTTTTAAAACAAAATGTCGGTATCATTTTACCTTCATCTTAACAAGACAGGTGATATACATGTATATTTATATATATGTAAAAATAGGTTTAAAATATACCCAGAAAAGTATAAATAATTATATAACATCTTTGTAGTTTTATTTTACGCAGTGGTCAGTAGATAGTGTGTTCATTTTACATTAGTATTCTTTATTTTTCTACGCAGTCTAGCAGTTTAGTTACAACATAAATAATAATCATAAGTTTTAACATCATCATGTGTCCGGCATATTCTTCATGTATTTTGAAATTATTTGGCCGAATATTTATTTGCTATTTTGCCCCTTCCCATTGTTCACAGTTGTCTTATTTTAGAGTTTTATCGCAGCATCTTTATTTATTGACTGATATTTTAGACAATTTGTGTTTGGATAGATTGGTACATGACACACGCCTCTGACTCTTTGGCAGGGATTTAGGTCAAGGTCACTAAGGCTAAAGAAAGAATTGTAAACCTTTTTCATAATAGTAAATTAAGACTGTCTTTTTTAACTTAGTCAAAGTGACAGAATTTGTTTTACGGTTATTTTTTATTGTTTTTTTGCTCATTTTGTACTTGATCATGTTGAATTATTGAAAAAAAAATATATTCTGAAAATCTTGCCAGGTCATTTAAAGATATTAATAGACAACTGTTTTGTCATTAGGATTTATATTTTCCAGATTTAAGGGAATTTTTAATGTAAAAAGGATGAATTTTTTCTTGTTATAAGGAATCATTTTGTAGTGATGAAAATATTTAAATTATTCAATGTGCCGAGTCTAACTGTAAATTCATGTAATTAAATTATGGTATATAGCATTTAAAATAAAGGTTT